GTTGAACTAAACTTCCGATTGACATCGTGAGCACATTGAGATAAAAGTCGGCATTATGTTCATACGTTTATCTGAATTCCTATCTGGGTTCTTACTTTGACAACACGACATCATTTTTTATTTGACTTAACTTATTTACCATGCTGACGTCGTCGATGAAACAAAAAATTCTAACCTTTCTAGACCATCTGGACTTATAACTGCTTTACATAACAGAGGGTTAAAAGGTATATCTTTCTTTTGTTTCACCGTCTTTCTAATTAATTGTTTCAATTTTTAAACGTAACAGTGCAAAAGCGAATACAATTTGACAATGCATTTATATATTTTATTATTATCATTTTTATTAATATTTATCTTGTATATTCATTTACTCATTTATTTTGAATAACATATACTTTATATTCATTCACTCCGCTTATGGTAAAGGTATACTGTGTATTATAGTGAAAATTATGTTGTTCTACATACATGTACGTTTTTGTTCTTTCTATCCTCCCATACCTCCTATTTAGTCAAACTATTTGATTAAATGTACATTTTTACTAGACAATTTATTTCAGAAATTAAAGAAATATTAAGCGTAGATGTATGCCAATTGTACAAATTAAAAACAATTACAATTATTGTAGGCGTGGTGGTATATCTACCAGCTGTGCCACATTTTTCATTCATTTTTCATATACTCAACTAATGTTCAGTTTCATGATAATTTATAATCACAAGTGTTTTCTGCATTTGTTAGTAAACCGGTGTGTGTTATGGAGATACTGTGATACAGAGTGTATGTGATGGTATGTAAGGATGAGCGTGTGTGTCCTTACACTGATTTGTAAGTAGCTTCTAGTTATATGACTAGCTATGGCTCTTTCAAATTGTATTTTTCTTCATTTTCTGTTGTAATTTTTCTACTGCTATAGCCACTCACGGAAAGAATCATATTGGCTCTGTCTGCTGTTCAATACATCTCTGCCAATAAGATTTGATGACATGAAACAAGAAATTAACTGACAATGACAACCACAAATGGAAATCAAGGACACGACGATTTTTCATATATGTATTATGAAACAAACGGGCATTTCTCCGCCAAGCTGTGTTGATTTCAACTTGCATTTAGTGAATTTTCCATTTCTGGATAGCAATAACTCTTCTTAATCAACCTATGCTACTTACATGTCGCAGTTGATTCGATATTCAATGGCTTGTTCTTAATCACGGTTTTCGTGGAGGATATCGATAACCGAGAGATAAATTCGCAACACAGTGTTTTGGGAGATGCAAGTTAATGAATATTATAGTGAAATCTTATAGCAGACATAACAGTCGATCTCATTTATTCTATTTCCTTGTGCGCAGTGAAGTTTGACTTGTCTTATACTCATTAGTATGCCTGATGGTTCCGTTGATGCTAACCTTATTCTCATATTGACCAAGATCTTCGCTGAAGTGGAAGACACTTACCCGTTTGGAACGTCTAGTCTTTTTTCTTCAGTGCTTCTTCAGCTGTATCCATGCAAATCTTGCTGTTGTTAATGTGTGCCCTACTTTCATCGAATTTCAGTTTGAATTGACCGTTGAGATATATGTTTTGTTTTGTCATACCATTGTCTGTAACCTTTAACCATTACTTTTATCCTGGTACTGCTGTGTAAACGATATTTGTGTGATCAGTTTGAGCATTGGTAACGCACCCTCCTTCTAGACGATCAGGGTTAGATCACCTGATCAGAAATGAAAAGTATTGTGGTTCACGTGCTCAATCGCGTGAGTTTTCTCCGGATACTCGTGTATCTTTCCACAGTAAGACATGCAATATAGTTATAGCTATAAGCTTGTTTCGAAATCGTTGTAACATAAAACAGCGGATATTGCACTAGTTTCAATGTAAGATTGTAAAATGGAATTTATTAAACAATTTACGAGTTTAACAAATTCAATATTACATCGGCAAGAACGTAAGATTATATTTATCAAACATATTTCGTAATTGTGAAAACTTTAAATCAATTTAATTATCAGAAAGACGCTGTTTTTTCACTAGAGACAATCATGTGACGTCATTTCATTTCAGATTCACCTAAAAATATGTTACTAGTCTTATAAGTACGTGGAGCACATTACCAGGTCAATGAAGGCATGAATTGTTTTCGTCGGAAATAGTTTAAAAAATCAAGAATTGATGTTTAAACCTGTGATTAAGAATAACAATTTATCATAATTATATCAACAGGTTTGAAGCATTTCAAAAAAATATTCCAAAAATTGTAAAGTGAGCTTTGATGTAAATAAAGCAAGACCACGTACATGCCGAATAGGAAGGTTGTGTGATGCGCACTTGTTATAATTAGTAGACTCCCAGCATCTCTGGTTGTAAGACGCAGGGGAACGGTACTAGCTTACGGCTATTCATAACCAATGATCAAGAAAATGTCTTGATAATTTCTTTTTGAACCAAGTATATCGACTTTTACTACTTCATTCATGTAATAATTAAACATTATACTAGAACAAACATTGTAAGTCTATCAAGTATGTACACGGGACATGAAACTTTCTGGACCGCGTGATAATACAAGAGAGGCAACTCGTGGTATAACACGCAGAATCAACACAACCAACAGGTTTCAGTGATATTTTTTATGACTACAATGTCATCTTAATCAGACAAATGACCTATACGAAGCATACTTGCACTGACAGTTGACCGGCTTTTTCAGCTGAACTATAATCATGTGTATCTCAAGGTAGAAAATAGTGCTTCATAGTGCTACTTGGTGCATGGTAGGACCATTATAAAAGAGTACACAAAATGGTACATGTCACCATGTATTGTCGTCGAATCGGCTGTGCTTTGTTTGAAAGTCTGTAAAAGTAAACAGGGATTTGAGCCAATGTCGTGGTGGTGCTAGGTGTAGATCAGGGTGTTCCAGATATCCCTTGCTTGGATACCACCCGGTATGCAGGGCGATTGAGGAATAGGGACTAGCAACGCAAGTATCAATGGCAACAAGCTCAGGATAAGTAGGTAGTAGGTTTACCAATCTTGTCGACCAGTTTCACCCGAACTGTGTGGGCTTCATCAGGACAACAAATGTATGCAATTTCCCGCTAAAGTACTAAAATGTGGGCACGTTACATTATGACATACACAATAAGGTAACGTATGTAACCTTCCATTACATTCAATAGTTTTCATAACGGTTGATACACTGTAAAAGATATGCGACAGTGGCTCCCCCCGTCCCTGTTTAGTAACGGCCCGCTGCAATGTACTAAAATGGCCTCCTTGACCAGCTGCCTGAAAATGCTGTTTACACTGTCGACTATTTTCTTCCTCAGTGTACCAACAGGTACGTGCAAAAATGTGTTCGTCTTGGCCGCGAATGGTAGTCAGAATTGCTCTCTTTAAATATATATATATATATAAAACCACGAGTTGTTGAGGAAATTAAATGGAAATACTTCATTTACAACATTTAATTGCTTCGACAGATATATACAAGTTAGAAAAATTATTTGTTCTTTCCGTCGATGTATGATTTATAACTATCGCCTCGTTGTAAACTATATAAAACATTGCCTGAATACCAACCCTTGCAGGAGTCGCGAGAATTTGGGCATTTTTACATAGGGGTGAATTCTGACTATCGTCTGATTGGTATATAATCACAACCTTTAGCTTCGGACTAGTGCAATAAAGTATTCAATCAAAAAGGTGTCATGTTTCAGTTGGAAATGGAAGTACAAAGAATTCAACAACATCAAATTTCCATTCAAATTTCTTTCAAAATAAAGATACTATCGTCAGTACTTCTGGTTTGTTCACATGTCAAATGTGTTTGTGGATAGAGCTCTTGATGTAAGCAGGCAAGGTCCTTGTACCAATACTCTGAATTTCCATTCTTAAATCATCTCCTAAATTTATAGTTTTACTGAGTGACTAAAATTTTCTTTTAATGAGTAACCATGATTTTTTTTTAATATTTAGCCTGGGAACTAAGCAGGCCACCTTTAACTGTTAGTATGGTTTCTGGTCTCATATTCTGGAGTTGACCCAACTCCATCAATGGCCGTATTAAAATCCTGAAAGAAATGTATATGTCTTGTAAGAACGGGCCACAAGTTATCCTCTGTAATGTCTTGGTACTAAACAGCATTGATGTTTCCTTCTTACTGGCATCATACTTCCTACACCCTCCCAGCAGATGCAACTCCATATCATGGCTACATCTAGGCTTGAGAAGTCCTCTGCTTGACGAGTTGGAGTATCCAGCCTAACTCCCCTTTCTTCAAATTTGAACTCTTTTATCGTATCCATTTATGATTTTACTCCCTTATGAGTAAATTACAGGCTTGCAGTCCTACTGCCCACATCTCCCTTTCTTTTCTCATTAATATTTGCCATAATACCAGAAAGTGAACATGTTTCATATTCCTTTCCAATTCATCAACCAAGCTTTTATTTAAACAATATGATGATGATGTTTTTCCTTTTCCACATTAATTCATATTTATATATTTACATTTAAGTGTGCTTTTGACTGGCTTCTACAGTGTAGGATTTATTCCAGTAAAATATTTACTGCACATATCACTAAGTTTGACAAACAGTTACCACAGAAAAAAAAGCAGATTGATTCAAAAAGTATATTATTCATAGTCTAATTTGATCCTAAACCATGAATCCTCGGAATTTCAGTACATTTTTCTGGAATAAGCCTGAATATTAACAATAACCTGCAAACATCATTTCTGAAGTATAATTGAAAGGTCCAGTTTTCATTTTGTTCAATTTATTTCCAAACAGTCAAACTCCAAACAACTGTAATTAATACATCACAAGACATCTATATAATGGAATACAACTATTGAAAATTGTTGGATGTTGTATTTATATTTGTGCTGGTAATTTAATTTAAGTTCTTGCAACTGTTTCATTTCCTTCTAAGTGTTATGGTTCATTCAATAATTTTTAATCAGAAAGAAAAACAAAACACTTTGAAATCTTAACTTATAATCATATCTTGTTAACACAGTCACAAACTTTTACAAACTTCTGATTCTGTACTTGGTAAGTCCTATTCTGTGCAGTGACTTTCTCTATACATCAAATGTCACATTAACAGATAAACTCCTATCTTCTTTTGCATCACCACTGGAATTTCCTAAAACAAAAGAGGAAACAAGCTCAAACATCTGTGTTAGAAGAAACCTATAAAGTGCCTTTTGTAAGAATGAACCAATGAGAAGCATTTAGATATTTAGAGGAGTGAATGATATTTTCCTAAGGTTCCATGTAGTTTTTGCTTTCATGAAATACTACAAAGTTATTGTGTGAAACTTTCTTCTGTCTCATATTTTTGTCAATGAGTGAAAACACTTGCGCTAAAGAAAGATACTAAAATTGATACACATTTTAATGCATCTAATGGGTGAAAATGAACTCTTTTTTTATCAGAGGTCGAAAAGACCTTGGATGATTATTTTTCTGTATCCAGTAATAGCTCATCAGTAGAGATATATTTAGTGATATCTATAACAAGCAAGATGATATGTGAAAAGTTGGGTATAATTTTCTAACTAAATATCCTGAACACACTTACCTAGCCCACATGTAGTCAGGATTCTCTGACACAAGCTCGGGCTCAGTGTATCCCATCTCCTCCAAGGTACTGATACTCAGCTTTGTCAATGTTGGCTGAATCTCTTGAGAAATGTAATCCCACAGTATAGGGTTTGCTTTAGACTTGTACTGAAATCAGACAGAAAAATGCTAAATTTCCTGTTACTGCGCTGAGAAAACAGTTGATGAAGCAACATAAGCTCTTAGTTTGTATACATAAGATACTGATTCTTCTATTATTTTCTGGTGACTAAACCATAATGGCAGGCAGCAATCTTGTTAAGGAACAACAATACTAATGGACAGAACAATATACACCTGTTCTATGGCGGAAGAGAAATGTATTATTACATCAAAATCAATACAAATATTGAAATAAAATATCAAAATTATCTGATCAAATTGCCACTGAGAAAACACAATTTCATGTTATAGTGATTTCAAAACAATGTCTAACAAGTTAAAAAAAATTAAAGAGCAATGGGCAATAACTATTCCAAAACTTGTCGGAGAGTCAAAAGGGAAAGGTAGAAAAGAGTGTTATGTGTTTTGATAAAACATATAAAGTCTTAAAGACATTGGTTGAAAACAAGAAGAAATTCATAGATAATACTGAAATGCTAAATGTTAAAAATGGTTTTAAAAAAAACACAAAAAAAACACACCCAAATACAGAAAAGAAACAAAAATACAAAGGGCAAAAATATTGAATACATGGTAGATAAAATATAGGGCAATAACTCGTCCTTAAAATCTTGAAATTTCAACCTGCAGTAAAACAATTAGTCATAATGATTAAGATTAAGGATACCAAATCTGAAATATCACTTGAAAAATGAAAGTTTACCATGTGGACAGACCATACTACACTATTAATAAGTTTGTTTTGGGTATAAAAAAAATCCCTTGTAAATTCTGATATAAGTGATAATTTCCACTGTCAAAAATAGTAATTACAGTACCAATTATAAAACAGGATAATATCACACTTGTGTCACAATGTTTTGATGAAGATCTTGTGTATTGCAATACAGATAACAGCACTTTCTTTTTTCTCTGTATCACTTTTTGGCAACTTTGACAGAAATGACTTTTTCATCAACTGCTAATATTCAAAGTTAAGATAGGAATTATTTGGGATTTACATTCTTTAAAACCAAGAAAACTGGAACAGTTTACATAAAAAAGACCCAAGAAAATATGACAAGTTCAAATCTTATGATAATTTGACATTGCAATGAAAATTTGCAGTGCATTTCACCAGTTTAGCAGAATAATATATTGTATGTTACATTGTGATCAATGTATCACAACATCTATCAGTATCAAGTGATTAAACAGTTTTAGATTACATACCAGATATTACCAGAATACAGGATTATAATAAACTAGGTGTTTCTCATTTTTAGGTATACAAGATTATAATAAACTAGGTGTTTCTCATTTTTAGGTATACAAGATTATAATAAACTAGGTGTTTCTCATTTTTAGGTATACAAGATTATAATAAACTAGGTGTTTCTCATTTTTAGGTATACAAGATTATAATAAACTAGGTGTTTCCCATTTTTAGGTATACAAGATTATAATAAGCTAGATATTTCCTGATACAGGAATGAGATTATAATAAATATGTTGTTCTATTACTTCACTTCAGAAACGGTATGTAGATGTAATATTTGACATTAAGAATGATCACAAATTCAAAATTTTTGTACAAACCCTGACTGATTCCATAAACCTAATAGCTAAACTGTGGTCATTGACTCGTCGACAAGCTTCCAGTCCGGCAATAACTGTTGAGGGCAATGGAACCCTGTCTTGTGTCTACAAACATAAAAAAAATGCAAGTTATATAATGTTTAATCCTTTATATGCATGTAGGGGGTAAGGGAGGTAAATAAACAAGAGGTCGGTGGGCCTAGACAATCATCGGACTAAAACCACCCATAAAAGATACACACACGTTCCAACAAAAATTCAACTCAACGGCAGAAGTAGAACTGGAGAAGAAGCTTAAATTTGGTTTTCCCAAGATGGCAGACATGACAGTCATATTGGATTTCAAACTAGCTTAAAAAATATTAAAACACTTGGACAGGATCATCGAAGAATCATTTCAGCCAAGTTTTGAGCTGTAGCTGGGAAGAAGTTTAAAATTAGACCTGTTGTAAACTCCATGATAATGCAATCATATTACAAAATGCATGCCATGTCATGTTGTAAGTTTTGACAAAGTCGAAAAATAACAACACTCTGTTTGCTTTCTTTCATAAATATATCTCCACCAATTTTCAGTTCAAGTTTAAAATGGGTTTTTTAATGCCATTAGCCATATTAGATTTCAGACAGACAAAGATAACGAGTGGCCCAAGAGGCCTGCATCAGTCAACCAGTATTTCATATTCATGAAAAAAGATTCTGTGTTAATATCAAATGTACTGACATATACAACTTTGGCATTCAAAATTGGCATATCCAATTGATTTAAACTGATTTCCGCTACAAATAACTTTAACTAAACAGTGTAGTAATGACATCGATTAAAGTAAATGCCATTTGTTTGACCTTAATTCACTTGTCCACCAAATGTCAAGCTTCTAGGACTTTTGATATTCCAGAAGAAATCTTTTATTGTATGTTTTGTTGACTTTCAATATGGGTCAACATCAACTCTTTTTGAAGCCTTTGTCTGGTTCCATCCCAGGAACCCATTAGCCAAATCCCACGCTTCTGCATCATTTGGTAAGTCAGAAGGAGTTGTTGAAAGTTTTTGATACATTTTTAATATATGTGACCCAAGTGACCTTGAATAAGCGTCAAGGTCATTTTTTTTTGAGACATTATTGGGCTTTCTTCTAGGAATCTGTGCTTTTTGGTTAGCCAAAAGAAATTGTTTTAAGGTTTTAACATATTTTACTCCTGCGACCTTGAACATGGGTCAAGGTAATTTCTTTTGAAATCTTAGTCTGGCTTCATCCTAGCAACCCATCAATCAAGACATTTGGTCTGCTGGTTATTAAAGAGAAGTTGTTTAAATGGTAAAGTTGATGCTTGCTGGTCGGATGGACAGACAATTGATGCCGCCAGGGCATAAACTCACTTAAGTTTGTCCTTTTGGGCCTTGTGAGCTAACAACTGATGGTTAAGACTATCTCTGGACAATTTCAAACAAGTTTGAGCTCATTCCCACCAGTGGACAAAAAAATCACAAGTCACCCTGACCCTTCTGATCAAAGACAAAAATTCTCCATCTACTCCGATTGTGATATATATGTACAAGTAACTTACATGCATGTCATTGATGACATCTTCAACCTCCCAGATATCAGAGGCAATTGCAAATCGCTTCAGATAACGTAATTCTATAGCATCATCAGGATCTATGTCGGCAGCCTTCTGGGATGCTGATGCGATCTTTTCAGCTTCAGCTTTCCTGTCAGTCTCACTTACAACATTTGTGCAGTATGAAGCTATGAAACGATAAGAAGAACAATAACATGAAAAAATAAAAACCATTCTCACAAATGTCGTCACTTTGGTCTTTCATCACTGTCACCAGCCTATATTTTAAGACACTGACCATGTCTTATCTTAATATGTTATATATGTGATAGCTTTTCATGGTTTCACTGCATAAAATTTTTTTTTTTGGGGGGGGGGGGAGGGGAGGGGAAAAGGGGGCTAAGGACATTTATTAGTGTCAACTGATATTGTGCATAATTGAATGAAAAAACATACCCTGCAACAATGAATGAATCAATTAAAACAGAAAATATAAATGACTGCTTTTATAGGGTCTCAATATTTTGCCATTCGAATAAAAAAATAATGTATTACTGATATTATTTCCACAGTTCGTAATAAACTGTCAGCAAATTTTCCCCATTCCCAAAACACCTGTCAAAAGTCCCTAAGGACATGATCATTTGTAGTCCAAAAGAGACCCAAGCATCTGTGATTTCTGTTTTGTCTTAGTTGCTGTTGATAGTTAAGATTCCTCGCTACATAAAAATGGCAAATTCAAGCAACCTTGGCATGGGTTGGTATTCAGACACTCTTTTATATTAAGTTTACAGCAGCATTTTTTGTTGTAAATATGTTTTAAAGTAAAGTTGTTTGGAAAAAGTTTGAAACACTTGATTTACAACATTTAATAGATTTAAAACATTTAACTATATATCATATTACTTGCATGAATGCAAACTCTTGCAGGAGTCGCTAGTATTTGGCATTTTTATACTGGGAGGAATTCTGATTATTGACCATTACCAAGATTGAAGACAAAAATAAAATTGCTAACAGATTGCCAGAACCCTACAGACTAGGTTATACACTGCATACTAGATATTCTTAATGAGATATGATGATGCTCATTTGTTAACATTTGCCATACATATAGCCAGATTTTACTCTATAGCAAACAAGACTCCTTTACCAGTTTGGAGAATAAGACAAAGTTACATATAACATGTAAACTGGCCTATTCTACACCACTCGGTTATTGATTAGTTACTAAAAATAGCTGAAATCACTTTAAACTTAGCTTTTTAAATGTTTTGTCTAAGTCACATTTATTTAGCCATGAAACATCATACAAATGCTAAAATTAAATTTATCTGCATGTAGAAAAGTACTGAAAACAGATGCAGTGCTTCCGACTTGTATGATCTATGTTATGACAGTACATTTACTGTGGCGACGACTGTTACATCAAGTTGCTAAGTAGCCAGCACTTTCAGTAAACATCTTCTAGTAAAAAATATTTACTTAATCATAAATTAATGCGGCTATTAATAATATATTGCAAAAGTTTCAGTTAAAACGACTTTGGCTATTTAGAGTATCAAATCCATAGTCTAATTGGCGTATGTTTAATAGGCATGTATGTATAATAGGCCAGTTTGCATATTATAAGCAAATGTAATGTTTTCCCCGACCTGTTAACCCGATCATGGTCACGTATACCAAATTTTAAAAGTCACAATGTCTACGTATTGCATTGACGCGACCATTTCATCCAATCGATTATAGCTGATCTGATAACATAGTACGTCTGACAAAATGAATACTGGTCCCAAAGTGACCTACAGCTATGTCCAGTCATTTGACCAACTGACATGAGAGCCCACATTTTCTGAAAGTGGGGGGATGGGGGTTGACAGTCAATTTCTATAATGTTGAGGAAAATTAAAATAAATATTAAACCGCGTCCACGAATATATTACCAGCAGGGTTTATCTTCCTTGGTTGTACTGTTGTTCGAAGTGCCGGGACCACAGCTCTGGTCAATCTATGTGTAAACTGCCGTAACATCTTAGATCCTGACCGGTGCGACCTTGCAGTTTGCTGCTTACCCACAATTCATTAGGAATCGAGGTCAACCAATATGTTTAATCGTACGGGAATTGCGGCGACATTTTCCAAGCGCCTTTCTGATAGGGGTATATAGGAAACTAAAATTGAAGCCGGTCCGAGCCCATGCTCAACAGAAACCGACAATTTTTTTCGTACGGTGGAATTTTAAAGAAAAATAACTAACTATGAGTAAACTGAGCACATAAATTCTTTTAAATGCAAGAAAATTTCTTCGAGTAGAGATAAGAAGGTTTATAGCTTCTTGATCAAACTCTAAAAGTATATATAAACTTTATTTTAAGTGGCTATTACTGTGCCAGGTATACATGAAATACAGAATTCTTGTTTTCAAAAATGGTGCCACATCACGTCATACGTTATGCAAGGATCGGGTTCTTTACTACCAGCAGAAAAAAAATTATTTTCAAATATCTACAAGAATATAATGAATACATGTCTGCCTTGCATGTGGTCGGCCCATAGTGGAAATCAAGAACATAGTCGGCAGACTCGACCCAATCAACTTCTGTCTTTTGTGACATTTTATTTTGATATAAAAACCAAACCTGTTTTTCCGATTTATATAGTTTCATAGAGGTTAACAGATTTCCGAAAAATGCAACACTTGGTTTCGAGAGAAGCAGGTTGATGTAGAAAATATGAAGGTATTGTCCTTATTTTGATTTCTGTTTAAAATATATTTGATGTTTGATGCCCATCATCATGCCCGTTGGTTTCTTGTTATTCCTGGTTCTCACTTGAGAACTTGATACTACTTGGATTCCTACCTCAATTCCAAATAATAATGTCAAAGGACACCATTGTCCAAAACAATGACAGTAAACAGGAAATGATCTTTATGGTATTGCAGTGGTTCTTCAGTCTAAAAGTTTTCAAAGTTCAAAGCCGAGAGCACACTGGAGCTTCAAGACATCGTAAGAAATATGTGTGCTGGTAGTAGACGAAGACCGGGAGTCGATCACTTTCAGCAATGGAGTCAAGCGACTAGCAGGAAAGATGGGACAGAATTGCAGAAGTGGTGAGATCTGAGGAGGAACAACGACCCATCAGTAGTTGAGCTAGGTTATCAAGGCTCATTGACTCGTTAGAATCTTCCTGGGAGCAAGAGCACATGTACTGATCTGTGAATGATGGAATCAGTTAGGATATCTTTCATCCTGAGATTGATGTCTGAAACGCTAACGTCGCCAAGTAACGTGTATAGATGGGGCCTCTTGGAAAACCCATTTTTTATTGTACCCAGCGCGGTACACTGTGCCAACATTAGCACACATCAAATTGGACTTAAGAAAAGCGATCCACCAGGGCAGATATAGATGGCGTCACGAGCAAGTTCTGGTTGACTGAGCTGACAATCTGAAGAAAAAGCGGCGACAGAGGAGGCCAGAGACGGAATACCATATGCTCATTCACATGCAGTTCATGAGAGCTGATAAGAAAGGACATCCAACTGTTACTCCACATCAGGAGAGCTTGTTCAGTCAAGCACCTTCCTAGGAAATGAGAGCAGACCTAAATAAACATCTAGTCTTTTATGATGTTGTACACACCACACTGAGACCAAACACCGTGATGTGGTCATAACAGCGCAAGAATTTTATCCTGGTGGAGCTGACAGTTCCGTGGAAGGAACGGTGCATTGAAGTACAAGAAAGGAAAGCTACCAAATGCCAAGGTTGAAACATCTGGCTATTCCTAGTAGAGATTGGCGTCAGATGGTTCCCTGCTGTCAGTATAGAAGATGATCGAGGAAGTTGAACTGACAGGGACATGACGAAAGTCAGCTATCATAACCATAGCTGAGAGGCTAAGAAAGAGAGAGAGCACCATGCTGGTTATAGTGCAGATAAAAGGAGCTGAATCTGAGATCAGACAATGGCAGATGTGATTGGACACCACTAGTGACCCAACAACCAGAGGATATCATGGAATAGGGTTCTGTGATTTTATTGTACCATACAGCTGATCACACATCAATATCACATACCAGAATCTGTTTAATGTCCGTCTGTGGTTTAATGTTCTAAGTTTTCTCTAATAAAAAAGAAAGACAAACAGCAGTGATAAAATAATGACAACATTTGGTTTAATAAACTGGTCCAACATTCCATATAGAGGATGATAACCACATCAGCAGTAATACAATGTATATAGATACAATAACTGTTAAACCCGAGATTCATAGAGGGTCCATACCAATGGCGAATACTTTCAATTCAATTACAACAAAAAAGTTTAGACAATGGAAAATTAATCCCATTTTAAGAAGTATGAATCAATACATATTGCAATACATTATAAACATATAGGGAAAAGATTACAAACAAAACTAATAACTACATCATGACCATTAGTAAAGGCCAGTTATGATACTCTCCTTCAGAACTATACCTATAGGGCAAGTAGATAATAAGTACTAATCTAATATTCATATTCTTACTGATCATTATTATATATTTAATTACTTATTATGCTGTTATCATAATCAGTAAAATGTTAAAATGTGAATATTGACATTAAATGATAATTTTAGAAACAGAAAGTCTTCAGTCTAGTAGTACAGTACCCGACTGTACACTACCAGGAAAAATAATTGGACGTGACTGCATATTGTACTGTCGACAACAATGATCAAGGTTATTATATTCAACAAGAGCCTTCATCAAACCAATACACAAACGTAGATAACATGAAACAGCTGTCTATGTACAATATATAATAGGTAGCAGCAACTACACAAGGCAAATATACTGCAACAAAATACATACAATGTACCTCAACAGGTTAGAATACAGAAATAATATTGGATTGTAAAACTGGGTGAAGTGTCAACAAAGGCCTTGCTTATTAACAACAATTACAATCACCAAAAAACTTCTTTTCTTTATATAGAGAAAAATATCAAATTATGATTGATAAGGTGCAAAGGTCTTGAAAATTTGGAAGTAAATTTTGATATATATAAAAAATTGAAAATCATACTAATATCCTTAACAAATATCTTATAGGTAATAAATACAACTGGGAGTAAAATCTGTGGTCAGTGGTAGTGTTGATGATATAATGGTAACTTAAAGTAAGACTGCCTGGGAAAGAAATATCTTAATCATGCAGCTACCTTTATAATACTGTCAGAACGCCGACGTTCATTGACAAGACATCTAAAAATAGGACAAATCAAGGAGACAGAAAACCTGTGAGCAACAACCAACCAACAAACTACATTTATCAAAGTAACCAATGAGAAAACTTCAAGTGTATATAGTAGTAACATAAGTATATGTACAACCAAATAAGCTGCGATATAACATACAACAAAGCAGGTTTCTTTTTCTAGACATAATGGTGATGATAAAACTGCAGTGCAAATCCAATTATCAATTTACCACCTGTTAATCTGACTGTACACTGTCAGTATAAGCCAAAGAGTTAATCAGGCCAACTTAAGATGGAAAAATAAGACGGTTATCAACCAAACAACTGTAAGGTAAGGGGGACAACCCATATTAATGGCGACAGGTTTACTAAAGTAATGTGTATGAAGAACAATTTTATACGAAAAATAAAAAAAGTTGTAAACATAAAAACTACATAAAATTAAAGAAGGTAACACAGATTTTTGGTCACCATAGATATTATAACTTTTGTATGTAACGGTACAGTCTGCATGGTTCATCCATACCTCCAACCTTTAAATAATTACAGCAATCTGGTCCGATCACGATTTTCCAATATCAAAACATAGATAATTTCATGGAAATTATGGATAAACTATCTTTTTATAGTGACAGTCTTTAATTTTACATTTGTAAACAATAATTTATAACCATAAGGTGATGAACACAGACTTTCTTTTTCTGTGAGAGAACTTATGGAAGCTATTTATCAAGAATTGTCTAAATATGAGAGTAATCTGTAATCTACATAACGAATAAAGAATATCATTAAGGAATACTGGAGAATGAAACAAAAACTGAATCGTTAGGAACGTATTTCATGTCTTAAGTTTCAGACTTAAATTACAATCCATTATACACAACAGGAAAACTGCAAAGTTGAAATAACTCACTTCAGATACATCAGAACAGTAAATGAATGTTGGCATTTGTGACTCATAATAATAAGTAAAATGCTACTAATATAATAATAATGTGTTTGTCATCAATACATACCTTTACCAATACAATGTTAATGCCAACAACTGGAATCCACTGCTCAAACAATTGTCTAAACTTTAAAATATCAAAAAAACACAGAAAATCCATAAAAGTAACTCTAACTGTAAATGTTGTGAAAGTTTCACAATGAATATCAGATGTATGACAGAGATTCTATGTCTTAAAATGGTGTATACAGCCATTCACTTAAAGATGAAGAGTATTCAATAGAAAAAAGCATGATTCGTTTTTGAAATTAAAATCTAGAATATGGCATTTTCAGCACAAAAAAATTATTGCATCATAAAAATGTGGGGAAGAACTATAAGCATCTTCAGCATCATATTACAAAATGCTTGAGTTATACAACACAAGATTTTCTGGCAATCTTTTCATTGCGTAGAATGTTAACAAGTTTTATCTTAATATGTAGCAAACAAATCACTAATCCATATGACTCAATTAACATGTACCACAAAAACCCAGTTAATTACACTATTACCAGGGTACATGTAGCCTTATTTGCCATTAAAATGTAACACTAGTATACAATAATGTATTGTACATCAATAAATTATGTAACACCACCTATTGCCAACACTACAACCTAGAATGTCATTTCAGATTCAATTGTCCTTATTGGGAAATGCCTTTGAAGTTTTTGATTTATTTTATGAGTTAAGTTATAAAGAAAAGCTTGCATCTGTACCACGATTACACTGAATTTACTAGTAAGACCAAAAATTTGACATGACACTTATCTGGAAGCTTGTGTCATTTCACTTCTGTAAACTCTTTAAATCCTGTAAAAATAAGCTGCAGATTAATTTGACATTGTGGTTTATTCTGAGGTATAACTTTTAATCAGAGTTACATAATTTTATCAGCAAACATCCATCAAATGTAAAAAATGTTCATATACACTGTATGTACAAATAAGTATGTAACAAACACCATACACCAAATCTGTTAACCATTTACAGAACACTAAGGCATATGAAATACAATTGATATTCCATTTAGATTTGGTTCTCTTCATGAAAAATAAATGCACACTGAAATATACTTGCTACACTTTCGTCTTATCAAACACTAGAACATGTACTGGTACATAAAAGTATTACCAGGATGGCACATTAACAATTTTACAATCAATGTAGTTTCTGTAGCTGTAGTAGGTAAATAATCATAGAGGTTCTGTTTCTGTAGATTTAGTGGGGATAGTGGAGTGTACATAAATCTGGAGATTTAGTTTTTGTAAGATTTACTGGAGTGTGCATGTGGAGACTTTGTTTCTGTAAGGATTCTAGTCCACAGCTAAATATAATGCATGCATACTCAAATTTACATCTGATATCTCAATTTCCATAGTTGTAGTATGCATACTGGGGAGCATATTGCATCATCTGTCGTTCATCCCCGAGTCTCTCGCTAGTGATATCAACTTTACCAAACACACTTTCACCATAAGATGGAGGAGCTGAAAAGAAATGATAACATCAAAATTTAAGTTTACTTCTCTAAATTTCACAAAATTCTTAAATTGTCGTACATACAAATTATCTATACAAACTAATCTAGATAGTCGTAGATATCAATATCTTCACTAAACAAAGGTATATTGCTATGTATGAAGTTTGGCACCAGTTTGGTTTGTCCGTCATCACAAGAGAACCTTACAGGTGACTGACAAGTGAACGTTGAGGTTATTGTGAGAAAGGAAGTGTGACCTATATAACTATAGACATTTTTGAGGTGTGATCTGTGAGGAATAACAGAAGTATATTTAGGCAAGGACAATTGACACACAGGCGGTGTAACCTGGGAGTACTGATAGACAGGAGGCGTGGCCTAAGATTATCGAAACATACTGGAGGAGTGATCTGAGAGTATTAACAGATCTAAAGCATATTGACACACAGGCAGTGTGACTAGAAGTATTGACCTAATGAAGGTATGGTTTGTATTACCGGGTACTGATAGATAAAATTACTGGTCTAGGTCTACTGACAAACAAAAGAAGAAACCTTGGAGTGTTATAGGAAGGGGACATGGCCTTTCTTATTGACTGACAGGAGGCATGGCTTTGGAATACTAATCTAAATATTTTGTAATTTGTCTGGAGGTGTTATCTGGAAGTATTGATGGAGGTTTTACCTGGGAGGATTGATAGACAGGTGTGACCTTGACAAATTGACAACATGAGGTATGACATGAAAGTATCAAAAGATATGAGTTATCAGGTTGAAGAATTGACAGGCAGCAAATGCGTCTTTGAAGTATTGAGAGACTGGTATAGTGATCTAGGAATATTTGTAGACAGGAAGTATGGGCAGACAAGACACCTGACCTTTCACTGACAACAAGGGGTGGAAATATTGACATTTAGGAGGTGTAGTCTGACAGTACTGACAGGCAGGTGTGACCTCAGGACATGAACAGGGAGAAAGTATTATTTAAGGAGTATTGACACGAGTTGCTACTTGCAAGTATTGCAAGACAGGAAGTGAGACCATGAGAGTATTGCCAGACAGGAAGTGAGACCCTGAGAGTATTAACAGACAGGAAGTGTGACCCTGAGAGTATTGCCAGACAGGAAGTGAGACCCTGAGAGTATTAACAGACAGGAAGTGTGACCCTGAGAGTATTGCAAGACAGGAGTGTGACTCTGAGAGTATTGCAAGACAGGAAGTGTGACCCTGAGAGTATTGCTAGACAGGAAGTGTGACCCTGAAAGTATTGCTAGACAGAAAGTGTGACCCTGAGAGTATTGCCAGACAGGAAGTGAGACCCTGAGAGTATTAACAGACAGGAGGTGTGAACCTGGGAGTATTAACAGACAGGAGATGTGACCTGGAAATACTGACAGCCAAGAGATTAACCATAAGGAGGTGTTACAAGGGGTTGTAGGGTATACTTACGGACATTAGGAATGGCTCCTGGTTGTACAGTGATGGGCTGTCCTCCAGTTTCATTCAGCATAATGCCAGAGGGATCCACGGGCAGTTCTGGCATAGGTACAGGAGGGGGCAAATATGTTTGGAGTGGTACTGTCCCAATCACAACATTCAGCGGCACCTCAAGATCAAATGGGGTGTTGTCTACATCAGCCTTCAACTGAAAACAAAAGATATGTTGGAGATACTTAATATCACTTCATATCAGTTGTAATCATCAAACTTACAGTAACCAAGGCCAACATGTCATATGTTTTCTTTTCGCTATCATGAATAAGAGTCTATGTATTTGATACTTGTGTTTGAAATATGTCATGACTATATACATGATTTCAAGGTAGTTTTTGATTGGATTCAGACACCAAGAATCACTACACATTGGTGTGTATCCTTGTAGACTAAAAAGCAGCTCCTTTCCACCTACAAATCCACTTCTGGATTGACAGTTTTTCAGATAAGAAGAAAACATTCTTCATCATACAAGTGGTATTGAGTCTTTGATTTTAAGTTTGCTTCATTATGTCATAAACAAATTTTTACCAGTTAAAATATACCAAGCTTGACCTTGACCTTTACCCTATCGGGCCAATTGACTTCCAATATGGTTGCAAAAAATCTTATCTGATAACAAAACATTTATCTCTAAGATATCTACAAATCATTGTCTAATATAGAGTCAAGCAAACATAAAATATGTATCTTATCCAGCCATTGAAACATACTATCTTCAAAGTTTGGTTAAGAGTGAAATTGTAATTACTTAAACATTGAAATTAACTATTCTTCTTAACCCAATGCCAATGTCCAGGTGCGCATTTAAAGCCTTGCTGAGCTACAACAGCTCATGAAAATGTGGAAAGGAACCAAGCAAAGCTTCATGCTTCATGCATCACACCTGAATGTGATTTGTAGACATTGCCATGGATTATTTTTGGTGAACTGAATAAAACCCCACTAAAACATATTGAAGAACGTACCTCAACAATATACTCCATATGTATGATGTTACAATTAGCCAGCGGTGATGGAGGGATGGGTGGAATGATGAGTTTGTCACCACTCCAAATATCCGACCCCTGTGGTTCAATAGGACCATGTTGCACTTTTGCTACATCTCGTTTTTCAAACCGTGTATTTCCATCAGCAAAATATCTAATGTTCTGAAAGTATAAACATTCATAGTTTTTACAATATTAGTTACTATTATTTGCCCTTAATGTATCATTCTATCTGTATGTACCATTAAATGTATAGGTCTATCTGTATGTACCATTAAATGTATAGGTCTATCTGTATATACCATTAAATGTATAGGTCTGACTGTATCATTCTGTCTGTATATACCATTAAATGTATCATTCTGTCTGTATATACCATTAAATGTATCATTCTATCTGTATATACCATTAAATGTATAGGTCTGTCTGTATATACCATTAAATGTATAGGTCTGACTGTATATATCATTAAATGTATAGGTCTAACTGTATATACCATTAAATGTATAGGTCTGACTGTATATATCATTAAATGTACAGGTCTGACTGTATATATCATTAAATGTATAGGTCTAACTGTATATACCATTAAATGTATAGGTCTGACTGTATATATCATTAAATGTACAGGTCTGACTGTATATATCATTAAATGTATTGTTCTAATTGTATATACCATTAAATGTATAGGTCTGACTGTATCAATTTTGTCTGTTTCTACCATTAAATGTATTGGTATAACTGGATTTTAACATAAAAAATTTTTAACAAATTTTACTATCTTAAATCTGTAAAACTTAAACTAGTGTTGCATTCTAAATGAAGATAACTAAACAACATGTGTGTATCAGTGAATATTTGTACCTTGACAATAACATCAAGACATCTGCACCAATGACGATAGCTTGCATTGTGAGTGACTGACCTTAACTGAAGATGACCTAACTAATGTGAATTTATGACTGATCAGGAACAATTTTACATTATGAGTTTGACCCTGGAAGATGAATGTTCATTTCATTTATCATTATGAGTTTGACCCTGGAAGATGAATGTTCATTTCATTTATCATTATGAGTTTGACCCTGGAAGATGAATGTTCATTTCATTTATCATTATGAGTTTGACCCTGGTAGATAAATGTTCATTTCATTTATCATTATGAGTTTGACCCGGGAAGATGAATGTTCATTTCATTTATCGTTAAAAGTTTGACCCTAGAAGATGAATGTTCATTCTATTTACCATTATGAGTTTGACCCGGGAAGATAAAATTGATCTGTCAGAGTTGTTCACAATCTCAGCATTGATAGTTATTGCCTCTCCTGGAACATAGCCCCGGCGATCGATCCTGAAAACTGCGGTGACAGGACCTGTCGCACAACACAGACAGCATATCATCTTTGAGTCCTGTAGCTGAGCTGGCATCTGGAAACATTAGAAAAACACTCTACATGTACTTTGATAACCAATAGATTATATATATATATATATATATATATATATATATAATCTATATATATACTTACCTATATATGGGACATGAATGTAGCTCCATAATCAGTAACATTTATCTTGTATCATGACATTGATATCCTGCCCTCATGCATAAACACTGAAGCACATGTTTATTGGTCACAGGTGAAAATGAATTTAATATTAATAAGACTGTGTTGATAGTTTGGTCACATAAGTGAAGTTCATATACAATGTACTTGTGACAAACTTAACAATGGGTACCATACCGCAGCATTAGGATCTTGGTTCAAGTCCACATGACTCAGAACTGTAAATGGATACTGCACTTTGTAGTCCTTTCCTTCACGGTCTACTTTGGCCTTGACATTATACCTAATGTAACCATAGTAACTCTCAAACGAAGATGGCAGGTTTGGAGGCAAGATAAAATTGACAGGGTAGTTTGTAGTCCCAGGCTGCAGAACATGGCCTCCACTGACTACAATGTAGAAATGTATAATCATATATCCCATCAGGATTTCTATCTAACTCCTGGTTTATCTATTACACACATTATTAAACAACATTGAAATCATCAGTATCCATACTGTATACCTTGTCATAATCAATACACATACTGATCCATTACATATAGACATACCAATCTCTTACATACTATACATACTGATCCTTTATTTGTAAACAAAATGACCCATTGTTATACATGTACATACTGATCTATGACATATACTGATATACTATATATATATAATTATATATTCTGGACTATATTACTTATATACATACTGATCCACTGCTCATGTTCAAAATATTTTTCCTTAGCATCATATTCCCTTTCTTCTTCTCCACTACCCTCTTTCCACTGCACTTTTGCTTTTCCTTTATACTTGATTTTAATGCCTGTAAGTTGATAAAGAAAACAAAAGTCATTTATAAACAAATTATCAAATGCACATAAACAGGCAATCAAGGATATAGATTGGAAAGATTTGCAACTACTTCTTTGGAAAGCAAAAAGGTATAACCTGAAAGCCAGTTCTATCATGGACATTGCAAATCTCATTCTTCATTGTATATGAGACCTATATTCGAGTACATGTAACTATAGCAAGAGTAAGGCACAATTAGCAATTAAAGCATTTAAAAAAGAATATGTACAGTGTTAGTATCAACATAAAAGATGAATGCCTACATTTTAAATGAAATCATGGCGGTGTTGTCAAGCCCTCCAAATTATAGTGGTACACATGTGGTCCAATCTGTCTAAACAATGTACAAAATGTACATACGTACATGTATGATCATTGTCAATTATTTCTGGGTTGACAATTCAGCTATTATAGAAGTTATGTAGTAGCAAAAGTTCAATCTGTGTTAAATTAAAGAAGACATAAAATGCATGTAGATCAGAGGGATGATGACTGAAACAAAGAGGTAAACAATTCTATTTCCAACCACGCCCTTCAGTGTTTGAATGTATCGCATTTTTTCCAGAAAGAAAGATGCATGCACAGTCGAACCTCTGATTTCCTCTTCGTGTTGTGCGTGCACTTGTACCACAGCCTCTACCACTTGGCCAGCGTAGAACACGCCATTCGAACTATTGACGAGCTGCACATCGAGCTTCATCTTATTTTCAGTGACAACATCCACGAGAATGGTCCAGTCCCAATGAGTTCTTGATTTCTATTCCACTTCCGGTCACTTTTCGGAATACCTCGATAACGTACGTACTGTATACCGCGTTATCTCAACACTCAACAGCAGAAACGGTAAGGAATGTCCTTTGTCACTTTTTTTCATAACAACAAGAACTTTTTGCAAACAAGACATAAATGTAATGAAACGAACAATGCATTTTAAAACGGTTATCAGAATAATCTAGCCCATAGGGGATCTGTTTCTGGATTTCAAGTATATTGCTTATAACCACAACAAAACAAATCCAGTATTTAGTACTCCTGCACCATATATGCTGGTAAATCATTCAAAATCGAACATTTGAACATTACAGATCAGCTATACAACGTTTCTGTTCGAAGCGATGGTAGAGCGAAATACATCAATTTGATGAAATCGAAAGGGGTAGGGCCATCGCTCTGGTAATGCATGGGCGTTCGCAACGTCATGTAGTGTGAAAAACACGTCTTGTAGTTATTCATGACAATCTTACAGCAGTAACATATCGAGATCGGGTCTAGGGACCATGCATCCTTCCTCTTATCCATCAACGCAACCATACATTGCATTACAAATCGAGGCCCAAGGTTGCTTGGGTTGTCGTGACTTTCTGACTCAAAACAACATCCAAGTTCTTGATTGGCCACCATATAGTCCAGATTTGTCCCCAATCGAGCATTTGAGGGACGAGCTGGATAGGAGGGTTAGGAAGCTTGTCATGTCCAATATAATGTTAGTCAACTTATGCAGGCCCTTGTTTAGGAGTGGAATAATATCCCTCAAAGGACAATAAACACCTTGATGGGGTCAATGTTAAGGAGAGTAGGAATAGAGACTGAAGTCAGGGGTGGGCACATACACTACAGATTTGGATCAGGAAATAGGGTACCATTGTTTTCATGCTGTTCATAAAAATGCTGTCTGTGATAGGACAACAAAATTCATCAAAATACATTCAGTAATATTGAAATGATCAAGAAACACACGCAATTAACAAATCATCAATTAATCATGTAAAATAATAACTATCAAAAACAAAACTGAGTTTCTTTTCCACTATTATATTTAATCTGTTTTTGTATAAATGAAAAGTATATAATGTATATATCATACATGATACTTAACAATGTATTTCAGATCTGCTTCATTGGTTAGTGATTGACTACCAAGATGAGTGACTTAAAACCACCCATGTCAACTGTTGGACTGGTGCTTTTTATAGCAGCAGGATTTCTGGTAAGAATGTTATGATTAAAAGATTTAATTTGAAGAAGCTGGATAATGCTTTTAAGAAATGGGTAATTAGGAGCTGCTCAGATACTTGATGATATGTAAAATATAGCTGTTATACTGTAGAAACTTTAGCTCGTGAAAATTCCCCTTTAGTCAAGTGGTAATGTGTGTGGCTAAAGGCAAAAGAGTTACTAGTTTGAACCCCAGTGATGGTAGGGTGTTTTTCATTACTCCTTCCCAATACAAATTTGGTGCTGTGACCACTCCAACCTATATAGGACAGGAGATTGAGATGCTTCCTTGGAGCTAAAGGATCTGAGATTGTTATTTGACTTGGAGGTCAAAGACTTTATGAAGGAGGGAATACATATAATATAGAGTGTAGAAGTTCAGAGTCCATGTCACCTTACTAGCTTTGGTTGCTGACAATTTCCTCTTAATTGAGGGGTAGAGTGTCTGGCTGGAGACCAAAACCCAGCAAGAGGAGTTTGTTTTTCCTTGCTTCTTTTCAATTAGAAATTTGGTGCTGTTGACCACTTTCGAGGGTAGAGCTATAGGAGAACAAGATGAATCCACGGAGATATTGAACAGACGTTGTTGTTGTTGACTTCTAGAGAACAAGACTTTGAAATAGGGAAGGATGAACTGGACTGGGTTAATACTATCAGTGACCAGGTACAACTGTAGCTCAGTTGGTAGAGTGTCCATCAAGAATTTGGGGTGTACCAGGTTTGAACCCTGGTCTGACTAAGGCAGAGCAGTGTGTTCTGGTTAGTATTTACCATTTATACAATTATATTTGTTTTTAAAATTTTTAAGATTTCATTTACTCTAATTTCAGATATTTGTCTTGGGAGCACTTTTGGCAAAACGCCAAATTATGCGATTCAGCCTGAGGTCATCAAGGCGACCACACATTTCTATTGGGTCAGATGCACCAAAGGTATTCCTTGTATTTTATAAATCTAGTAAACCTTCTTTTGTTATATGTACACCCTGCTGTTTATATATGGATGTTTCTGTTGACTTCTAATCTATTTTATTTCACTTACTCTAATGATAAAATCCATTGCCACAATTTTGTCTGGTAGTGTGATCCTAATACATTTACATATATGTAAGATATATCTTATGTTATAAAAGAAATGATTACATTTACCAGATCAGAGGTCTGAATGACCTAGTGTTTACTTTTAAAAAATTCAGTTGCAAAATTTCTATACATGTATGATATATAGGAAGTGGTAATTGGTAAAGCTGTACAGTATGTATGGTATATAGAGGAGATGATAATTGGTAAAGCTGTACAGTATATCTGGTATGTAGGGGAGATAATAAAAATTAATTAGTAAAACTGTACAGTACGTATGATATATAAAGGAGATAATAAAAATTAATTAGTAAAACTGTACAGTACGTATGATATATAAAGGAGATAATACTTAGTAAAACTGTACAGTATGTATGGTATATAGAGGAGATGATAACTAGTAAAGCTGTACAGTATGTATGGTATATAGAGGAGATGATAACTAGTAAAGCTGTACAGTATGTATGGTATATAGAGGCGATGATAATTGGTAAAGCTGTACAGTATGTATTATATATATTTATTGTTTTGATATGTTTTAGAAAATGAGGAAGAGTATAATAGAATGTCTAGATCGTGTGTGTAAGATCAAGCATGAACCAGTACTATTGAATGCCAAAGTTCTTCAGACTGCAACGACAGGTAAGTATGTTAGATCACAGTGTGCTGTACACAAATCACTGTGAGGAGAGTTTTTGGATGACAGTATAATTCAGATATAAATTATCAGTGGATAGATATTCTGAATTTAAATCTGTTTTTTGATTAATCAGAAACATTTACAGGAGAAAAGAAAAATAGGAGCAATTACCTCAAGTTTTTCTTTCATTGAATACAAGTACTGCAGTCTGTATTGTAATGTCAGGTGTTTAAACTAACATTTATTTTTTCCAGTACCTAATTCCTATTACTACAGAATGAAGGCACTGGATTCATTTTCAAAATTTGGTATGTACATTTGTTTCTTCTTTTGACCTAAAATTTTGTGACATTAGAAGTAGGTTTCATTTTTACTTGACATTTTAAGTAGCTGTCAAAATGAGTGAATTTCTAGATCATGATTGGATTGTAGGCACTTCATTGGAAAATATCAATTAGTATTCTCAGCAAGAATAAAATCATGTTACTGTTGTTGAGAGTAGATGAAGTTTTTGTTATATTTTTTATTTTTTAATTATGTCAATGTATTATTCAATATTTTTGTCTGCAAGATGAGGTCCTGAAGTGTGAGGAGCCAGACTCAGAAGGTCGACACCCTAGTAAAACAGTGAGACATTATTTACTGGGTCTGTACCCAGATTATCTCGGATCTTCATCCACAGATCTGATCCATCAATTTGCTGATGCTTATGAACATGCACGACATGACCCAACTGTAAGTTTTATTGATTCTGTGTACTATATTATGTATAATTAGCACTCATTGTTCAGAAACATGTTTTCCAGGCAAGCAACATGCATTGCTTCATTATAATCAATAATAATAATTACATATTTGCATTATATAGTTTTTGTTTTAGATATTCCTAAAAAAGAATCTGTTTACCTTAATTGTCTCCCTTGGTTATAGTTATATACACTCTTACACTTCAGGAGTTTGGAGAGGTCCAGTATAAACACTACCAAGGACTGCTGGATGAATTAATAATCTGGTATGTATCATACATCCACTAGGGCCCATTAAAATTCCTTTCTGGTGTGCATTGATATAAAGTAATTCATAGCTAAACATGTGTATATGTGCAGAAACTCTATTATGATCGACTAACATTATTTTACATCAGTTGATTATAACAAAAGTTAGATAAGTTAGAGATGTTACAGTAACCTCACAAAATGTATATAGTTTATTTGTAATCACAACTGATAATTCAGGTAACATAGTAAAAATTTATCCTTAAATCTTAATAGAAGTTTACTGTAGTTAAAAACATGTGTTGCAGCTTGAGGAACACAGCGGCGAAGCGGCCAGGTGTGGTATTTGGTAAGACTTTGGGAATGGATACACAAGTGATATATAAGCCAGGTAAAGGTGATACTCAAACCAGGACGATGCCTCAAAGTCCAGACATAAAGGACACAAGTCCTGATAAAGACTTAAGTGGCAAGCTGGATATGCGACATCGAACACGGGCAGGCAGTAGTGCCCAGTCAAGCTTCATGGACAGTGGTCATTCCAGCCATCAAAGTACAGCTAGTGCGGAAAGCTTTATTCCTCATGCAGAGAGCCCAGAGCGCATTGTGCTGCTAGACTTTGATAAGAAGAGTCACTATGTGTGAAGCAGAACTAAAGAAATAATTTGATGGGACAAGTGCAATGGCATAGAGAATTGATAGTGTGTAGATGAGAAATTACGTCTCGGAGAGTATGATAGAGGCTGTGATATTGACTAGAATGTGATAGTAAATTATAAATGTGTATACATGTGTTATATTTGAACGTGTGAGAGATAGTAGGAATCTCATTGTTGTTTTTGTTGACATGTAATTTTTAACATAAAATGATAAATTAAATATTCCCATTATTTCTTCTTTTTTTGCTTTGAATTTTCAAAAAATATATTTTGGTGACTTGCTTTACTTTTTCATCACATGTTTATTACATTGCCAAACCTCACAAAGGGAAATTAAATAAATGTACTAATTATTTTCAAGCTGTGGTTCAACTGGATACAAAGATACTGGTGATTTATTATTCCAAAATGTTACAGGTTAACAGCAACTATATTTTGAAAGTACATAAATAACACCTTTGGTAGTACATAAAGCACAAATTGATTGTCACCTCTATGTGGTTGTAGCTGAGTTTGTTCAGCTACAGGTGAGTTTGATTACTTGTCCAAACTTCCACTTTTTCCAGTTGCATTCAAGGATTCCTGGCATTCAAAATCTCATTTCTGCTACAGCACATCAGCAAGCTGGATCTGGCTAGTGTCAATACATTGACAGTCACTTATAATATGGCAGTTTTATAATTGATGCTAGTTCAGCTTTGATGGTACATGTATAATGTATTGTCCAGGGGTATCAGAAAATCAGTGAAAACTCAAATGCAAACTTCTTAAATACAAAAGGAAACAGAACGTTTGTGATACTAAATTGATCTAGTAATGAACCTGTTAGCATATCAAGGGGGAGTTGAGTATCAAATTTGCAAAAATTCACCTAAATAATCAACAATGTCTTTTGTGCAAGCTTCATAAGAGGTAAATGATTCAGGCCCAATGGGCCTTTTCAAGTTTTTGTTATGTAAATGTTTGCCTACACCCAAAAACTTCAGATAAATCTTGGTTTATAAGGTAAATAAGTTATCTAGATATAATGCTACATGGTTTGTATACATCTTTATTTGAACTGTTAATTTTGTTATGGTGCTGTCATTGACATCCTGGTGCAGCCGCTAACAACAATCATTTGGTAAGATTAGATATAAAGATATGGATGGTTATGTATTTTTTTCCTGTATCGAAGTGTTTTTGCATTGTAGTAACTTATATTGCTACAAGTAGATGTGTTCTACCATAACCCATTTCAAACTAGTGAACGCCTTTATTCTCTGATTATGAAGGGTTTTCTTTTTCTGAGCTGATCTCAATTTGTAACGAAACCAACAGGGTCAGTGTTCTGCTTTGTTAGCATGATTTCAATTTCCCTGTTGTGAGATTTACATTTCTAGATAGTAACGTTTGCATGTCGCATTTAATTAGATATGCAAATGCCTGATCCCAGTAGCATGATTCTGTACACAGCATTGAAAACGGTTTTGCAGGCAAAGTTCATGTATTCAAAGAGCGATGTAGGTCCTGTGTTTAACTAACTTATATACAGATACCTTAAATTATTAATAGGGTACAATAAAAAAAATCACAGATTCTTATTGTATATATTATGTAAGATACCTTAGTGAATTTATGAGAAATCTTACATATCATAATTAGGATCTAACAGGATTTCTATTTGATATGTAAATTACAAAACAAGACTAAGAAGGTTAAATGAATACAAATTAAAAAACTATCTCGTCAAAGAGCAGGCAAAGTGCTAAAACTATCTCGTCAAAGAGCAGGCAAAGTGTCAAAGCTATTTCATCACAGAGCAGGCAAAGTGCTAAAGCTATCTCGTCACAGATCAAAGTGCTATAGCTATCTCATCAAAGGGCAGGCAAAGTGCTATAGCTATCTCGTCACAGAGCAGGCAAAGTGCTAAAGCTATCTCGTCACAGAGCAGGCAAAGTGCTAAAGCTATCTCGACACAGATCAAAGTGCTATAGCTATCTCGTCAAAGGGCAGGCAAAGTGCTATAGCTATCTCGTCACAGATCAAAGTGCTATAGCTATCTCGTCACAGAGCAGGCAAAGTGCTATAGCTATCTCGTCACAGAGCAGCAAAGTGCTAAAGATATCTCGTCACAGAGCTGGCAAAGTGCTAAAGCTTTCTCGTCACAGAGCAAAGTGCTAAAGCTATCTCGTCACAGAGCAGGCAAAGTGCTAAAGCTATCTCGTCACAGAGCAGGCAAAGTGCTAAAGCTATCTCGACAAAGAGCAGGCGAAGTGCTTAAGTTATATTTTTAAACTGAATTACTTGTAAAGGTTGTCAGATTGATGCAGAAAGCGATATCAATTGAGGAGAGATGGAGAAAATTGCAGGTTCTGAGAGCTGTGTCTTAGACAATACACACAAATGATGGGTGACTAAGGTCAGTAAGGAAGGAAGAGACAACAGAGCAGGTGTGACAGATCATTGAAGAGACGCCACATGCATGTGCGAAATGTGTTAAGTGATGTTACAAGCCAAGTGTACATGTTTTTTTTTTTATGATTTGATCTCCAATTACGATCATGTAGAATTTTCGCAGTTTCTTAGGCAAAGTGACATTGGCAGCAGGATTACAGGTTTGACTGACTACAACATTGTTAATGACATCTGGTTTTCTTACAAATCCCATTTTATCTTGATAGGGTTGTCGTTAATGGGGTTGTTAAGAAACTTTGTCTCTCAAAGAAAATCCTTGCACGGAGAAAAAGCGACAGTGTGGGCTGCGACGGTTTATTTTGTGATTATCCTCTTTTTCCGCCATAACGTGACGTTACCCAAATTAGAACGCTTTTTGAAGAAAATTGCTAAACTTTTCTACAGAATGTTTGAATTAAGCTTTTTTAAATATTTCACAAATAAATTATTTCAGATTTCAATTCATGCTATGGTTGCAAGTCAGCAGTGCACGTGTCGATAAAAAGAATGCAGAAAGGCATGTAAAGTTCAGCAATGCGTTACAACAGATTTTTCTTCATTTTACAAAAGTATCACCTTTCTCATCATTCTCAGTCGATCATCTATCAAAATTGATTTATTTCAGCAATACATTTCATTGTTTTAAAACATAAAAGAATATGTGTGGTATTGCATGACATCACTTCCTGGGTTTTGCTTTTTTTTGGAAATTCAATTTTTAAAATTTCAAATAGAGATGATAAACAACATAGAAGAAATGGGCTGATAAAGAATGCCATGTTAACGTACTGAAAACATACCAACCATGGGGAAATCACAATCATTTTGCAATTTCTACTATAGGCGCATGTATCTGGAATGTAAACAAACCAGGTTTAAATAAGGCCCACTGTTCATTATTCATGTCCATGTGTATGATGTATCGTGGCATGTGGATATGGTTTGTTTACTTTCCAGATCCACGTGGTTGTGCCTATTGCTCTACCAACTGAGTTTTCTCCTTCAGCTGAGTGACGGAGACCGTATCTCTTTTAACACTGTCTTAAACAGTAAAAGCTAAGGTGTTTCACAAGTCCATTAAGTGAAGCTAATATTTTGATTTTTGGAGACATCTACATGAATGTACTTGTAAGAAGAATGCCATTTTCGTGAAATTAATTAGAAGCGTATTTTCCTTTCAATTGTTAATGCTTTGCTCTGTCGAGTAAGTTTGTATGTGCAGAACACTCGGCCAGCTTAAACACTCTTTAGAGTGTACCGTTGTACTGTCGTTCCACATGACCAACCATCGATCATATTTCCTCCTTCCATACGGAGTTGCTGCCATGATACAACAATACTCAATATACACCATATTTGATTTTAGCCGTGGTACAGTATATTCGGAGAAGATCTAAGATGATTCAGTGAGGCACGTGTGTGTTAATATCGAAAGTATTCACACAGAATGATGAACTAGAGAGTCAAACGTACAACCTGAGATACAGGTAAGACAATTCTCGTATGAATAGACAATGATATACGAACCACAATCAAAACGACTTTACGTTGTCTTTGGTGGTGAAAGGGGGGAGGGTGGGGTGGGGGTGGCGGGAGGTGATCGGGTACTATGGTTTTGAACTAGCTGATGGGGGAGTTGCGTTAAGTATACAACCGGTATAACTGCCTTTGTTTAGTTATATTGCACGTATATTACTTCCTGGTTAAGGTGTATTGCGGGGTAATGTTTACGCCAGGAGCCAACTGGGTGTCAGCACTGCAGTACTGAACTTAGCTCAGAACTATTTGTGAATGCTATGTATTGGAACCAGTGTATAGTATTGTGTAACAGCTGGTGAAATGTACAGTATATACAGGAACATGTGTATAGTATCGTGTAACACCTGTCGAGATGTACAGTATATATAGGAACATGTGTATAGTATCGTGTAATACCTGGCGAGTTGTACAGTATATACAGGAACCTGTGTGTAGTATCGTATATGCATGTGTATAGTATTGTGTAACACCTGGCGAGATGTATATACAGGAACATGTGTATAGATAACACCTGGTGAGATGTAGGAACCTGTGTGTAGTATCGTGCAACACCTGGCGAGTTGTACAGTAGATACAGGAACATGTGTATAGTATCGTGTAACATCCGGCGAGATGTACAGTATATACAGGAACATGTGTATGGTATCGTGTAACACCTGGTGAGATGTACCGTATATACAGGAACATGTGTATAGTATTGTGTAACACCTGGCGAGATGTACAGTGTATACAGGAACATGTGTATAGTATTGAGTAACACCTGGCGAGATGTACAGTATATACAGGAACATGTGTATACTATCGTGTAACACCTGGTGAGATGTACCGTATATACAGGAACATGTGTATAGTATTGTGTAACACCTGGCGAGATGTACAGTATATACAGGAAAATGTGTATAGTATCGTGTAACACCTGACGAGATGTACAGTATATACAGGAACATGTGTATAGTATCGTGTAACACCTGGCGAGTTGTACAGTATATACAGGAACATGTGTATAGTATCGTGTAACTCCTGGTGAGATGTACAGTATATACAGAACATGTGTATAGTATTGTGTAACACCTGGCGAGATGTACAGTATATACAGGAACATGTGTATAGTATCGTGTAACACCTGACGAGATGTACAGTATATACAGGAACATGTTTATAGTATCGTGTAACACCTGGCGAGATGTACAGTATATACAGGAACATGAAGTATAATCATGGACATTCAGTTCAGTTATTTGAAATTTAAGGTGAATTGTTCGACGTGTTGGTATTTGCCCATCATTAACCGAAACATAATACACGTGGACAATATTGAAAGAGGAAGAAGACAACCTATTTATGTTAATCTGAATGCCGCATGAGTTTTAAACAACCAATAGCTGAAATCTGACGCTCTGGTATAATTAGTGTCAAACTATTCAGATTTGCTTATTGTAACAGAAGGAGCGATAGTGTATGCATACTTTAAAATCTTCGTTTTCGTTAATACATATTAATGAGTTATTTCATGGATAAGAAAGTCACTAGGGCCAATTACTTGATTGGTTCCTTACAGACGTAACCGAGCTCTGATATGGAGGAGAAAAACATATCAATAGGCTTGTAAGCAACGTGTAAATTTTGAAGTATTAAGCCAATATTACATATGTATTTTATTTAACATAATGTAGATTCCTTCACTTTCATTTATCATAATGTAGATTCCTTCACTTTCATTTATCATAATGTAGATTCCTTCACTTTCGTTTATCATAATATAGATTCCTTCACTTTCATTTATCATAATGTAGATCCCTTCACTTTCATTTATCATAATGTAGATTCCTTCACTTTCATTTATCATAATGTAGATCCCTTCACTTTCATTTATCATAATGTAGATCCCTTCACTTTCATTTATCATAATGTAGATCCCTTCACTTTCATTTAACGTAATGTGGATCCCTTCACTTTCATTTAACGTAATGTAGATCCCTTCACTTTCATTTAACATAATGTAGATTCCTTCACTTTCATTTATCATAATGTAGATCCCTTCACTTTCATTTAATATAATGTAGATTCCTTCACTTTCATTTAATATAATGTAGATTCCTTCACTTTCATTTTTTCATAATGTAGATCCCTTCATTTTCATTTAACATAATGTAGATCCCGTTCACTTTCATTTAACACATGCACTCACCTTTCATACACCTTGTTAATTAATTGGATGTTAAACAATGCGAACTAGACTATGAATTCCAAGTAAATGCTTCCTTTGTTTATGGTTATATGTATTCTTAATTTCAGGAGTTTGGAGAGAAGTTTTTTATCAAAATTACCAGGAGCTGTTTGATAAATGAATGATTTGGTATGTATCATGCATCCACTAGGGCCCAATGAAATTATTTTCTGATGTGAAATAAAAATGTGTTGTCTGTTGGGGGCTGCGTGCGAACAGCTAATTATACTGACATATTTTAACACTTCAAACAAACTTATTAAAAAACTACGGAGCTAGGTATTCATTTGAAGATTAAGCGTCGAACACTTTAACAACCGACTGAAAATAGCTATTTGTCCTTGAACTGATATTTAAACAAATGTACCTAAATGTAGTTAAGGAAATATTTTCGCACGCAGAACGTCGAATTCAGAAAAACAGCTGACAATTTTTTTTCATGTAGATGTTGTTAAGAAAAATATGAAGGACATTGATGGAATAGCTGTTGATACAGAGTAGGGCTAAAGGAGCCCCTTAGAGAATGTACTGTCGCGATGATAATCACAACCTTATATTTTTGTAGTGGTCGTTTTACTAGCAAGACTACCACTTATAGCGTATGATATATCAAATTTTATTTGTTTCACAGATTTTCAGGACGATATGGCTGGCAGCAATCCATTTGAAAACATATTGAGTATTCTTAACGTGAAGAATCCTGAGACAATAGCGTGCAGTACCAGTGATCTCCACAAGGCTGCCACCCGTGGTGACGTCGGTTTATTACGAAAGTGTTTAGAGCAAGGCGAAGTAGACATCAACCTTGAAGATGAACTTGGGAATACTCCTTTATATATGGCAACAACAAAAGGTCACAGAACAGCCGTGGACATTTTATTACAGAACGGCGCTGCCGTGAATGATACTAGCTGCAGTCCTTTATTTGAAGTAAAGGATGCTCATATTGCTAATGCACTAGTACAGGCCGGTGGCAGACTCGGGGACAGAGACGCCCAGGGGAACACCCCACTGCACAGGGCAGTCACAAGAGAAGACACTGAACTTGTATACTGCTTTATTGAGTTAGGAGCAGATACAAATGCACGGAATGCAACAGGAAATACGCCTCTGCACAATGCTTGCCAGCACAAAAAAGACGGCCCTGTCTGTGAGATGATAACTAGGTTAATCCAGACTGGGGTAACTGTTAACACGAAAGACAAGGTCGGGAAAACACCTCTTCATCACGCATGTGAGAGTTTCTCCATGTTTGAATCCATCTCTATCCTAATAAAACACGGGGCTGCATTGGACATACATGATGGGAAAGGATATTGCCCTATACACTATCTGATTGAGGGCTTTCTTCCTACAAGTACAGAAGAGGAGACTGAATTCGTGAGCAAGCTTGATGTTTTATTAAGCAGTTCAGATGCCATCAATCTTACAACTAAAACAGGGCTTTCGTCCGTTCATATTGCTGCATCAGCTGGACTTTGCATTGTGATCAAGCACTTGGTTCAGAGGGGATGTGATATTCGATGCCAGGACGGCCGAGGGAAAAATGCCCTCCATGTTGTAGCTTCAGCTAAAGAAGAAAGGAACAACGTTCATACGACACAGACTTTGATATCATGCGGCTGTGATGTCGAATGTTCTGATTTCTGGGGTTCTACACCACTTCACGAAGCTATTGCAAACGATAAGTTTGATGTTGTAGAACTTCTTGTTAATAATGGTGCTGATGTAGAAGCCCGCGATAACATTGGAACATCTACATTACATATAGCTGCAGCGAAATGCTCCAGTGCGATTCCTCTTTTGCTTAGCAAAGGAGCAACTGTTAATGCTACAAACAAATATTTGTCAGCGCCGTTACATTTCGCTGCCTGGACAGATTCCTGGTCTGCCGTAGAAACACTGATAAGACATGGTGCCGATCAGGAAATGAAAGACGTATCAGGATGTACTCCCCTTAATACAGCACTTTTCACACATTCAGAATCTGTTGCTGAAATCCTTAAAAGGGACGATTGCTCAACTTCAGTGAAAGCTTTTTCAAATGTTGCTAATAAATTGATGAGTAAAACTGATTTCGATAATCTGTTTCTGGAAGATGGCAAGATTACAAGAACTGATAAAGACATCACATCCTTTTGTAAAAGAGTTTTCAATACCCACGGAGTTGGACAAGTGCTGTTCGAAGATGAAGCCCGAGATATACAAAGTGCGGTCGAAAATATTGCAGAGAATATTGTTCAAAAGCTAGCTGAGCTGGACCCAAAATTCAAAGCAACACTGCTACGCGCAGGAAGTTCATCTGAAGGTACAAAAACAAAATTCCCTAATGAGTTCGATTTCATGTTTTGTCTAAAGCAATTCAGCGAAAACACATATCCAACATTTCAGGCGACAGATGAAATGAGATCAATGGACTCTGTATCATTAGTAAATAGGACCTCTACCAGTGCAACACTTGGGGACTTGTTACAAGATACAGAATTTACAGAAAAATGTGCCACAGTTTCTGATTACATAGAGATTCATGTACACGATACTGTCGGTACAGAACAGTTGTTAGACCTAAGTGTCGAAGATTCGAGACAAATTCCATGCTATATGATGTATCATCAGTTCGGCCAATTGTTGACAAACATCCTTCTCGGCAACAACTTTCCAAAGCATCCAAACCTTCTGATAAAAGAGGTAACTATTGAACCGGCACTGTCACTACAATGGCGGGGCAGCCGTTACAAGATGATGGACATCATTGTTGATCTGGTTCCCGCAATCCAACTTCCTTGCTGGCCTGAGAAAATTCGGAGGGATTGTAATCTTCTGACTCCTGATATCCTTCAGATCCCGGGCATGGCTGTGTCCAAGATGGTAGGTGATGTAGCAGAAGATTTATGGCGATGTTCAATGTCATTACAGGAAACTGCAATATTCCGGAAGCTGCAGCCATGTGTCAGAAACAGCTATACAGTCGCTAAGGCATTGTTAAATTCTACAGTGGTGTGTCCGCTAGGGAAAGAAGAAGAAACTGAGGAAACTGCGTTCATCAGAGAATTCCAAGTTCAGTCGATGACTGATTCCGAAGACGGTGTGTTTGTTACTGTAGCAGAAAAAGCTATCCCGTCATATTTTTTGAAAATGATGTTCTTGCTTTCTCTAGAAGACAAGGCTAAAAGAGAAGGACTAGGCAGTGTTTATGAAAGCGATCCGCAAACGGATGTATGTGGTGCCCTAACAACAATCAACGAACAAAATACCGACCCTGATAAATCTAGTCCACCTGTCAAACGCAAAAAAAACACATTATCGTATGGGCCAGCCGAAGTACGAAACATACAACGAACTGCAGGAGAGATTGATATCGACCTGGTCCGTGACATTTATCACAGATGTGAAGCATGTTTGTGTGAAGGAAAAGTCCCATCTTTCTTCAATCCGAGGCAAGACGTCCTTGGGTCAAGAGGAGAAGAACACAGAATGCAATTGGCATTGAACTATGTTAAATTTATCAATAAACTGCTAGATGATTAACGAAAATCTAACGTTCATAAAAGACTTAATGCTTCAAACTCGATATACGTTGATCGATATAACAACCATAATATGGGTTATTGTTGTTTTATTCCTAATAACATCCTACCATCCATAAATCTTGTCATCCACCTCGGAAGGGTTACTATGGAGGCGTGTCTGAACGATCAGTTCTTTAGGAAGTTCTTGTGTTACAAACGGAGCAATAGTTTATTGTTAATTGTTGCTTTACGTCCTATGAACAGCGAGAGTTATTCAAGGGTCCACCTGGATTGGATGGCGGAGGAAATCCGGAGTTCCCGTTAAAAACAAAAACCTGTGATACAAAATAAACTCTGATGGGTTGATAAAGACACAATGGAATTATAAGACATAACTCCAATGGTCCGTGGTCGTAATGTCACACACATTTAAACCAGTCTTTATAAGATGAAATGACCCTTGTATGTACGCCAATGTTCTCATTTGATAAACGAAATTAATATTGCGGTATGTGTCATTAGTATTGACCTAACTTGAAACAGTGTTTAACATTGTTTATAAAACATCACTGTGGCTTAATTGATATTAGGGAATTCGATTTCATACGTGTTACGATGTATATAAAACTAGTCTGGTAGTTCATATCACAGATTAATTAGCATATAGTTATTCATCCTCCGAACTTCTGTCTGCGTTTCAGGACATGTATATCCAAACTGCGTTGTTGAAACATAAATGGTAACATTACTTTGATATGTAGTGGTGTATTTTCTGTTTGTTTCTGTGATATAGTTATCTAATTACTACATAATTGCCATAAGGGTTTCATAAGCCTGAATTATCTGTGAATGTTTTTTTCAGTGTTTACATGTAGTAGTCGTGCTTCTTCGCATACCAAAACCACAACTCCGAGGGTTCGTTTAAGCTTTTATTGTCACAGATAGTAATAAAAAAAACCTGCAACAGATACAACATATATTACTACGAATCACACCTATTACACACTAAGAATATCACACAATCAATTAATGTCATCCTGACCGCAGTCAGTTACTAATTTAACAATTACACTGTTAACTATATTCCTATAACTTATACAGAAATTACAGCTGAATAATTATATATTAACGAATACATAATATTAGGCATTAATACACACGTATAAAATACCCACCTCTTCAATGCGAAGAGGGTTTTTTTCCGGAAGAAGTCCGCCGAGCACCAGCTCGAAGCTTATACAAAAGGAAAGTATGATACACATCAACGTCTTCTTCTTTAAAACTATAGACCTATACGCTTATTACTAAATGTAAATTGACCACACCCAATATTTGAATTTACTCGATTCCGAAAACATTTAATTTTACTTGAAACAAAACTATTACGTAAATTAAATATATTATTAAATAGATACTATATTAAATTATACTTATAGTTACATACTAAGTATCGGGTACTTACATTACTCCTACAGCTAGTGTCCCACAAATAGCAATTATGACTAGGTAACTTGTTGATGTTGCCGCATCGGCCGCTCTGCCCAAAATGACCAGTGCGCTCCTAGATCACCCAATATCCCCCGTGAATATACTAATAATAGATAAGACAAACTGGACAAACTGGTTTACAAATATTAACGTCACATCCATCTCGCGCTCTACTCTCACTTTCACGTGCCATACTCGCGCGCGGGCTAAAATCCATGTCGCAATGCGCCACGTACCGAATAATACGAAAGGCTGACTTCCGGTTCTGACACGCGAACGCCTAACGATAATATTAAAACAATAACAAATGTATATAGCACATATACTAAACAAAAAAAGAAAGGTAACACTACTTTATTCTGTGATTAATCAATTAACCCCTTCATAAATCCTTACCAATCATGTACGAATAAAGTAATTGATGAATTCTGATAAAACTGCAGTCATGGTTCATTATAAAACTTTGCGTTCAGTTGATTTTATTCGACTGTAAAGGACGTTGGGGTCAATTTCAAAGGTAACACCATTAGTAACGTGTATGGCCACCGTTTGCGAAGTAAACAGCATTGCAGCGTCGTCGCATGGAACTCGTAAACCGGCGGATAATTCGAGGAGAGATATTGTTCCATTCAGCGATCAAGGCTTGGGCCAGCTCCTGCAAGTTTGACGGCTGATTTTGACGTTCTCTCACGCGGCGCCCAAGAACGTCCCAGACATGCTCAATCTTTGACAAATCAAGTGATATAGATGGTCAATCTAACACCTGTACGTTATTCTGCTGCAAGAAAGTTCTGCTGACGCGACTGGTGTGCGCTGGTGCGTTATCCTGTTGAAAAATGGCGCCAACGCCATGGCGTCTTAAGAATGGCAGAACCACTAGTCTTAAAATTTCGTCCCGATATCGAATGCCGGTTAAATTGCCATTTAACACAACAAGCCTGGTACGAGTCCCCCCACAAATACCACCCCAAACCATTACACTTCCGCCGCCAAAGCGGTCCCGTTCCGCGACGCAGCAGTTCGCAAAACGCTCCCCTCGTCGCCTCCACACTCTGCGCCTTCCGTCACCGTGTTGCAGACAAAACCTGGACTCATCTGAAAACAGAACATTGTTCCATTGTCGTAAGGCCCAACGACGGTGAACACGGGTCCAGTTACGCCGATTATTACGGTGACGTCGTAGCAAATTGGGTCCAGTGTAGGGACGCCGCGCTTTCAATTGGTAGGCCCTCAACCTGTTTCGGACTGTTTGGGGAGACACACGACGCCCAAACAATGTCCTTGTAGTCTCTACTGCGGTTTCGAATCGATTGCGCAAGTGTATCAATCGTATACGACGGTCATCCCTGGCGGTCGTTTTACGGGGACGGCCGCTTCGGAGACGATCGGATGTTGACCCAGTTTGGTTTAAACGACTTACCAACTGGCAAATTGTCTTAACATTGCAACCAAAACGCCGTGCAACTCGACGGCGAGACTCCCCAGCCTGGATCATGCCTACAGCCCTTTCTCTCTGTACTTGTGATAGCCGGGGCATAATGATAAAGTTAATAGATAGCAAGATTCTAAGATTTCTAAGTCCTAAGGATCTAAGGAACAGTTGTCAGTTTGAATGTTTATGAAATTCAAGCGAAGATACAAGTTAGTCGCAGAAAACCTCGTGCAGCTCTTTCGCTAATACAGACTTTCACGCTTGAATGATTTTGGTAACTCCCTTGGATTTTGTAGTGTAACACATTGCCATTTTCTAATATTGCACAAACGTCATTTTGTTTTCACTCATTTACAGGTATTCGCCAAGAAAACATGTTAACCTTTCTTTTTTTTGTTGAGTATATATTAAAATGATATGTCAAAATAACATTACTACATATATACAAATAAATGTTTCATGTGCAAACCATTTCGGAACTAGACTTATCGACGGAAGTAATAAGAATGCTATCAAATCAGAAGAAATCGTGTCAAGTATCAGAGTTTATAGATACAACCAAGATGAGGTCGTAATAAATGTCAGCGGATATAACCTGTATCGTCATCATCCATCAGGTGATCGTGTTTTAAAGGTCTGGCTCTAGTTGCTCAAAGGTCAGTTAGAATCAGCCAGTGGTTCGTGGAAAATCCTAATTATTTCCACTGTAGAAATAAAATAAGTTGTTAAAAGCAAAATGAAACTATAAATCTTACCTGTCCCAAAACTCTACAGCTGTGAAATGAGTAAAAAAAATCCCAGTCTTGTTTTATTCTTATTTATAATTTTTCACTAACCTCTGATTATGTCTAACCAGTCTTTCAACGATCGCGGCCAGATGTTTTAAAGTAGTCATTGTTATCGCAAAGTTCCACAACACTCCCTTACATACATATGTATAATGGAAAATGAGCTTTGTCAAATTCAACAGTATCTCAACCTGCATTCACAGAACACCAAAGCAGGATCCTGACAAGACCTGAAAGGTCTTCAAGTGTTGTACTTCTCGTCAGTAATCGACTAGACAGCCACATTTGTATACCCAAAACAAACCCTAGTTTTCTTTCAACATAAGAGGACATATTAAGGAAAGCGACCAAGTACATTCGGGAGATCGAACCAGTTGTAATTGACATGCCAAATGCCCACTTAAGCAATGTAATAAATTGCTAACTGTCATTATTCTAACTGTAATAATTATTACAGGAAGGTTAACCTTACTGTACAACGAAGCACATGAAAGACTGGGATTATAACCGAACATATGTGTTAGATTACCTAACTTTGTAATTTTAATCACAGAGAACCATATTCGCCAAATCAATATCGCTCAATAGTCTTCAGTTGTCAGAATAAGGAAGTCGGACAGCCACGTTACCATATCGAAGGAATATAGTTTAATACAATTGTGAAGACCGACGTACTGCTTTAGTAAACACCGGTCTGTCAGTGACAGTATATGAAACATTTATAATCACATTTAGTTTTAAGCTCAGTACCTTTCCAACATTTCCATATAGATCAAGCTTGTGCAGTATCAACAGTCGAGGACTCATTACGCTTGTAAAATCAATATTAATGACATCTATATGTTTATGTTTGCCAAGGGTGAAACAGAAGTGAGGTTGACAGAACGTGTTGTCAAAGGAGGAGTGCCATTTTGGGCCTTCTGGTGGCCATGACGAATACTTTTTATTTTTTGTCTATTAAAACCTTGAGGTCAGGCGGTAATGATATGACATTAATCTAAGGTCAGCTCAAGGCTGTTCAGTTGTTATAGGGGGGACGAGTGGGGGATCAAATTCATAATTATTGCAATAATTATCAAACTAAAATATTTTTTTTTAGTTTTTTTCTCTTAAATGTCATTTGATGATATATTTCAAAACCTTATAGAAAAAATGACCAAAAAATATGCCATTGTTGAAAAGTAGGTCACAGTAGTTAAGTGCCCTAATTACTAATTAAGTCACACTTGAGCACCGTTTTTTGTCTTTATGCATCTATAAACAATACGTTTATCACGTGCAGTGTATTTATTTGAAATATTTTTGCAAATA